CCCCAAAACCCCAAAACCCCAAAACCCCAAAACCCCAAAACCCCATGGGAAATTACTAGAATTGAAAAGATCATCTCGTTTTTACTCGTAAGCTATTGAACAATCTGCAATGTCGTCAAGTGTCAGATCCTTGATAGGGTATTTTTGGAGCTTGGATGGAAGTCCTTGAATCAAAAGGATTGAGAGATGGTCAGCTCTGATGTAATCTTGATTATTTCAGTCATCTATAAAGACAAGACCTCCAAATTGTAAGAATTGAGGGATAAAGCATCTATCATCATCTTGGTGCTCGTCAATCTCATCACTCTTATATTCTTCAGAAGCTGAGAGATCGGCTGGCTGAGTAGCATGAGTATCTCTTTGGGTTGGGATCAATTCTTCTTTGTAAAACGCTCTCCATCTATAAATTTGGCCTCTCTTTTTAAGTCCTTCTCTTCTTTCGCGATGGTTAATTATCTGAACCAAGGTGGCCATATCTTGATTTAGACCCGCGTCTTCATTCATTGCTTCGGGAAACAAAGAAAATCAGGATTAAAGATTCTAATCGAATGGGCGAGTCATAACTTTTTCAGGTTGACATAGACTTTGTTGTCATCACTTGGCTGGAACCGATCCTGGGCGTCCTCCCAGATCTGGCTTTCAGGCTTGGAGAAGACTCTTTCGTATTCTGCAAGAGTAAATTCGTACTTCTTGAGGTTAATCTTGGAGTAGCAGTTCTCTTCCTCAGGAGGATGTCTGATATCACCAAAGTATTCTTGGGAGAATTCCCTGTAAACATCGGTGAACTCATAGTGGCATTTCCAGATAGTCTCTATCGTGGCTGAAGGAAAGCACTTCTTTGCATTCTTTACCATGAGGAGCAAGAATTTGCTGTATTCAGTGATGTACGCCATTCAGGTACTTTTATCTAGGAGTAGCTTGCTTTGTAGCTTTACGGTGAACGGATGAAAATTGATCAACCGGTTCAGGATTTTGTTGAATAATTTTTCAACAGAGATCTCCTGGTAGCTGTCAACCGTGATGCTTCCTTTGGAGAACTTGATTATTCTACAAGATTTCGTTACTATCTTCTTAGTGAATTTCTTGCTGACGTGTCTGACGATGTTCTTTAGCTTTGCTTTGGTAATTTTGGTTTTTAGTACATTTGTGTTGTAGTCACTTATATCTCAGATAACTTCGTTGATAGAACTTAGTGGTAAGTAGCAGGTCCCGAAATAGTCTGAGAAGTAGCAACTTGCATTATAGTCTGGCCAAATGCTTTTGTATGGATGAATGATGTCCATGTACTTTTTGCACAGATCGAGAGTGGTAGAGTATCACTCGTAATCTGGAGACTCAGCTCCAAGAAAGTACTTCCTGTGTAAATATGCACCAAAAATATCTTTGCAAAAACGCTCATAGACTGAAGACATTCAGATTAGAAGACACCAAATTTGGTCTATCACCGGTGGAGCCAGGAGAGGGTCTAGCTGAGCCTGGCTTTGGTCAATTATTGATGATTGAGCACTGGGAGAAGTACTGTAATGATTATACTCGCCAATAATAAACATGAATTTTCTAAACTCTGAAATAAGGATGTGTCAGACATGGGAGACCACAGGCTGGCCTAGGTCATTAGTCAGTTTGTTCATAATGGCTTCTTCGACAGTCTGCTCGTTTCTTCTGCCTTTATTGAAATCATAACACATTATTGCCCTATACTTGGGTTATCTCTGGTGGTGACAAACCAGACTAAGGGATCAACTAAACAGCGAAGTTCTTACCGAAAACGCTCTATTTGGGACTGCCTTTCCTCCCTGTTCAGAGGAACCTCATATTTCCTGACGCATGATCAGCAGGTGTTGCCCATGTTGTTATATTTTCAATTGCTTTAATAATTAGAGGGGTTTTGGGGTTTTGGGGTTTTGGGGTTTTGGGG